CTCCAGCACCGCCCGGCGTCGCAGACAGCGGGTTTCAGCACCGCGGCCGGCGCCCAGGCTCGGGGGCGGGGCCGGAGAGGGGCGGGGCCGGAGAGGGGCGGGGCCGGGCGGCTTGTGCAGGGCCCGGAGGAGTTGGAAGCAGCCCCGCACACCCAGGACCCAGAGGACCGCCGGAAGCCCGCACCCCTCTCGCCGTCCCTAGTGCAGATGACAAGGATGGGGCCGTGGCTGTCACGCTCTGATTCCCTGGAAAAAACCTGGCCTCTGCATTCCTCCCAGCCCTCCCAGACGCCTGCATCGCCCTCCCCAAGCTCCCCTCCCACCCCCACCCCAGGCCAAGTCTGCAAGCTTTACCCCAGAGCGCCTTGGGCTCTGTCATTCAGGCAAGGGTTGCTAAGAGCCGGGTGTGTGTGAACCCTAAACTGGAGGCTAGTTGCTCCTAGCCGCAGAGATAAGGATGGACCAGCCCTCAGGATGCTTGTTCTGTAATGTGATTTCTAAGAGCCTAAACTCCGTTCTGTACACTGCTTTTCTCCCCTGGTTTGCGGGGGTGGGGGGGTGTTGTTTGTTTTTGTTGTTGCTGCTGCTGTTCTGGGTTTTGAGGCAGGGTATCACTATGCAGTACTGACTGGCTTGGAACTTACTATGTAGACCAGGCTGGTCTCACACTCACAGAGATCTGCCTTCCTCTGCCTCCTGAGTGCTGAGACTAAAGGTGTGTGCCACTACACCCCGTGGGTTTGCATAATTTTGCTGAAGATTATTTTTTTCCCTTTAAAATATATATTTCTCAAGCTGGGAGTGGTGGCACCTGCCTTTAATCTCAGCACTGGGAAGGTAGAGACAGATGGAGCTCTGTGAGATTGGAGCTGGCCTGGTCTACATAGACAGTTCCAGGCCAGCTGGGGCTACAGGGAGACCCTGTCTGAAACAAAACAAAATAAAAATCCAAAAATAAAATATGGACTTTGGTTTAGACAATCTGAGTGTAAGCCAGCCATGTACTAAGCAGCTGCCACAAACAACCTTTTCTCCCACCTGTCCTGAACTCTGACAGACCTGGTACCAGGAGAAAGTGCACTGGATGGCATAGTATCCTTACTCAGGATGGCTCTCAGAACTTCCCAGAAAGAAAGTCTTTGTAAATGATGAAACCTCAAGTATCCACCTACCCTAATATTTGCACCCTAGCCCCCAAACCTGTGCATGAGATACCATGGTGCAGATATTAGGAGGGGTGGATACTTGAAAAAAAGAAGTTTTTCACAGATGTAGCTAAATTAAGAAACTTTTTAATATTTTTATTAATTCTTTGAGAATTTCATACAAGCATACAACATATTTTGATCATACCCACCTCCCACTCTTCCCCCCTAGAAACTGTGAATAGAGATATCCTACAAGATCTTCCAGGTGGCTGTTTGCTTGTTTAAATATTTTATTATTATTCTATGTGTATGAGTGTATTGCCTGCATATGTGTAGGTGTACCATGTCATGCAATGCCCACATAGGTCAGAAGAGGGCATTGGAGCCCCTGGAACTGGAGTTCTGAATGGTTGTTAGCTGCCATGTGGGTGCTGAGAGCTGAACCCAGATTCACTGACTGCAAGAGAAGTCAGTGCTCTTAACCACTGAGCCGTCTCCCCAGCCCCTGTTTGTTTTTTGAGACAAGGTCTCACTATGTAGACTAGGCTGGCCTAGAATTCACAGAGACCTGCCTCCTCCTGAGTTCTGGGATTAAAGGCATATGCCACTGCGCTGGGCTTCTCAAGTGTTCTTACTGGAGGGGTCACACAAAGGTGATGAAAGACACAGGAGAAAAGGTGCCTGACATCACCTCAGTTCAGGGTGATGTGACCATAGGTGAGCATGCTATAGGCCACCAAGCAGAGAGACAGGCTCTTGGGGCGTGGCTCAGCAGGGGAGCCCTGGCCAACTGACCAGTGAGGGTCTAGGGGGAGTTATGTGACATCTATAACTCAAAACTGAATAGGAAGACAACAGACCTGTGTGTGTGTGTGTGTGTGTGTGTGTGTGTGTGCATGTCCATCTGCAATCCAGCGGTTCACGTTAGATTAGATGTCTTCCTCTATCACTCTCCACCTTATCATTTTTGTTTATTTATTTATTTATTTATTTATTTATTTATTTATTTTTGTCTTTTTGAGACAGGGTCTCCCTGTAGCCCCAGCTGCCTTGGAACTCACTATGTAGGCCAGGCTGGCCTTGAACTCACAGAGATCCGCCTGCCTGTGCCTCCGGAGTGCTGGGATTAAAGGCGTGCACCACCACACCCGGCTCTTTTATTTATTTTTTAAGATTTTTTTTCAGGGGACTGGAGAGATGGCTCAGTGGTTAAGAGCACTGGTTGCTCTTGCAGAAGACCTGGGTTCAGTTCCCAGCACCCACATGGTGGCTAACAACCATCCAGTTCCAGGGGATCCAGTGTCCTCTTCTGGCCTCCTTGGGCATTTTACACACGTGGTACACTTACATACATGCAGGCAAAACACCCATACACATAAAATAAAAATAAATAAAAAATTAAGATTTGTTATTTTTAAAAATATGTTATTTTTATTTTATGTGTATGAATGCGTTGCCTGCATGTATGTGAGTGCACCCATGCCATGCAGTGCCACAGAGGTCAGAAGAGGGCTTCAGATTCCCCTGGAAGTGGAGTTAAGGATGGTTCATAGCCACCATGTGGGTGCTGGGAATCGAACCCGGGTCCTCTGCAAGAGTAGTCAGTGCTCTTAACTGCTGAGCCATCTCTCCAGCCCCAAGATTTGTTATTTTTAATTATGTGTATATGATCTGTGTGGGGTGGTATGTGCACATGTGTGTGGGTGCCCTCAGAAGCCCAAGGTGATGGGTCCCTCTGGAATTGGATTTACAGGCAATTGTGAGCTGCCCAACATGGGTGCTGGGAACCAAATTCAGGGCCTCTTGAAGATCAGTATATGCTCTTTTTAAAAAAAAAATTTGGGGACTGGAGAGATGACTCAGCGTTAAGAGCACTGACTGCTCTTGCAGAGGACCCGGGTTCGATTCCCAGCACCCACATGGCGGCTATTGACCTTCCTTAACTCCAGTTCCAGGGGAATCCGAAGCCCTCTCTGACCTCCGCGGCATTGCATGACACAGGTGCACTCACATACATGCAGGTAATGCACTTATACACATAAAATTAAAATAAATAAAATATCTCCCCAACCTGCTGGCAGGAGAGAGTCAGTCTCCTTTAACGGTGAGACTCTTGATAGATTGACCAGGCTCCAGTGGGTGAACCCACACCAAAGGGCATTTGGAGGAACAAATTTGATTCTATATCCTTTTTTAAAAAATATTTTTATTTATTATTTTAATTTTATGTGTATGTATGTATCGCCTGTGTGTAGGTAAGTGCATCCATGTTGTGCGATGCCCTCGGAGGACATTCTGTCGGATCCCCTGAAACTGGAGTTACGGACAGCTGTTAGCTGCCATGTGGGTGCTGGGACTTGAACCCGGGTGTTCTGCAAGAACCACCAGTGTCCTTAACCGCTGAGCCATCGCTCCAGCCCCATGTTTTTTTCTTTCTTTTGGTCCACCATGTTTGATTAGTGCCTGCATGAGTGCGGGTCCGGGTTATTGATCAGCAGCAACGTGCTAGTGGTCGCACTACTGAGACCATGACTCCCCCTCTCCCTCCCTCAGCAACCATAACATGCCTATCCATCTTCAAGGAGGGGTGGGTCCTGGCGGGTGACCAGCCCAGTCTTGCACAGGTAGCCACGGCTGCAGTGAGTCCCTGCAGCCGCTGAGCCGTTGGAGGACAGCGTTTCACAGTGTTCCTTGTCTTCTGCATCTTACATTCTCCTGTCTCCTCTTCTGGGACGTTCTCTGGGCCTTGGAGGAGGTCTTGTGGATGTCCCATCTAGGGCTGAGGACTGAACAGCCACATTCTCAGCACTTTGACCCGCTCTGTCTCCGAATTAGCTGCTGCCCAGCGCAGACAGTTTCCTGAGCTGCACAGAGCGCGCCGACACGGGCCATAAGCACTAACGTCTAGAAAGCAGTCTGACTTCACGAAGCAAACACAAAAACACGGAACGCCTCGTGAGTGTCCATGTCAGCCTTGCACGGGGGCCGCTAATCTCTACCGGTTCATTCTATGTGCGCTGCTGACAGCATCTTGTGATGGTGACAGGACCGACGTGTCAGAGCTCCTGGGATACGAGCCTGGGATGCGGGCCTGGGATGCAGGCGGAGGATGAGCATGTAACAACAGCCGGGGCCGCCAGGGACCGCGGGGTTGCTGACTCCAAGGCCCGCTAGGTTCCTTCCTTGCGGTGGAATGCAGATGTTTACACGAGGTTTTCTGTTTTGTTTCGTTGTTGTTGGATCAGGACCTCCCTGTAGCACCAGCTGGCCCGGAAATCGCTATGTACACCAGGCTGGCCTCCATCTCACAGAGCTCCGCCTGCCTCAGCCTCCCTGGGGTAAAGGCCTGCGCCACCTCGCCGGGCTGTATTTACTTCTTTTTTTTTTTTTTTTTTTTTTTTTTTTTTTTTTTCGGTTTCCCTGTAGCCGCAGCTGGTCTGGATTCACTAATGAAGACCAGGCTGGCCTCGAACTCACAGAGTTCCTCCTGCCTCCTGAGTGCTGGGATTAAAGGCGTGCGCCACCATGCCTAGCTCTTTTCTTTTCTTTTTTAACTAGCTCTCTTGTCTTTCCTCTTCAACGTGGATAACAATTTCTCCTCTAAGCTACGGAATAGTGAGATGTGA